GGTTAAACCCAGAGCTAGGAACCCCCCCCCCCAAGTCCACAGCAGGGCTGAGTCTAATGTTGCCATAGCTCCATCAAGGCCTCTCCAATCTTTTACCCCTCAAATTCCTACACCCCAGCTCAAGAAGGTTGAGGAAATTTTGCTTCGGAAGATTGAGGACAAGATATTTTCCTAATGTGATGTGGCATGAGGGGAACCTGTGTTCAAATCCTGATAGATCAGTACCTAGTCGTGTCATGATGGGACTCAAATCACACCTACGCCATGTGATTGCCATACGCCATGCACCAGGTTACTAGTTTGCTTATGACAACCCTTTGCACTGGGCCCCAGCTATCATTGTCATACAGACGACAGGCACATTTAATGATTACCAGGCACATGATTGCAGAGCATACTGGGGACAATAACTATCTCATCAATGTGACCCAGCAGAGTTCCGGGTAGAGGGTTGGTTGGGCCTGATGGTGAGTGAGTGGGCCTCAGGACAAAGGGCCTGATCACTGCTCAGACTCTCGTACGGCCCCCAGTCCTGCCATGTATCTTCAGAGGACAAACACTGTCTGCCCTTTTGAGTGTGCTGAACCACATGGGGTGACACCTACCTTAGAAATGACCATATGCTCCCCAAAATGGCGGATCAAGTCTCCCCGCATCACCAGGCGCAGCTGCTCTTCTGACAGCAGGGGCAGCGATGCACCCAGCAGGCGGAAACACATGTAGCTAAGGAGGGTTGGGACAGAGCCTGGTCAGTGACCCTGTTCTTTGGGGCGGGCTTCAGGACACAACCCACCCAGACTGGAGTGGGTGTTAAGAGTCACACACACCTGGCTGACCAGCAGGGCTTGTTCAGCAGTCTCTGTTCCAAAACCTCCTTCCAGAACAGTGTGAATTTATTCTCCTTAAGTGCCAGGCGGAGCAGGTCCAGGGCCACTTCGGGCAGTATATGCTCCTTCCTCACAGAGTTGGCTGCTGTCTTCAGCACATTCACCAGACTATGGGGGTGGGGACGACTCAGTCAACACTGCCTAGAGGTCCAGGGTTCAGGACACCCCCAGGGGTGAGCCTACCCACTCTCTCCTCAAACCTGGGAATATTCTCTTCTGAGAACAGGTCAACCGAGCCCATCAGTGACTCAAGTTTCGCTGGCACCCTCTGCTGAGCCAAGAGGAAGAGCTCCAGGTGCTTAGGGGAGCTGAGGACCACTTTCAAGTCACCGCCCTTGAGGATCTTGGGCAGGATCTCCTGGAACATGGACTCTGGGACCTGGAGTGGGAACACAGGGGGAAAGGGTGGCTCTATTAGCACCTTTGTTTCCCTCTGGGTCTTATTCTACCCATGGGCTTTTGCTACAGCTCCAGTCAGTCAACTGTCAGGCCCATAAGTAAGTGATGGCTACCCATCCCTGGCATATAGCTAACTGTCCTGGAGCTATATATTTAAAACTATTCCTTTTGTTTTTTAGAGCAACTGCAACTTGAATTCTGGTCCTTCTCTATTTGTGCAAGAAGGCCCAAACAGGGATGAACTAGTAGCAAATGATTCTAAATGTGAACCTGCCTCGGTCTCCCAAGTAGGACAGTGCAGACCCAGGCTTGATCAAAATAACTATGGCACATGCATTGACAAACGCAGAAACCACAATAGAGAGCTAGCTATGGAGCGAAATGCCTAACTGAATGGAGATATGCTGTGAACCTCAAAGGCGGGCAGGATTTAAGATATTTGATGGGGGGGGGAAGGAAACCAAAACTATCTTCACAGCTCTTTATACCAGTTGTATGGTGTTCTTACGTTCTAACCCAACTCTTCTTAATGTTTCCAAAACCAGACATCATGATCTATGACAGACCCCTTACCTGGGAGAGGATGTCCACCAGGACCTTCACTGGCTGCCCCTGTAAGTGGTTGTAGTGATGGGACAGGATCTTCAGCAATTTCACTGACTTCATCAGGGCCTCCTGGTCCTAGCACCCACAGAAAACGGCAGAGTGTGAAGAGGGCACACTACTGTCTGCTCCCTACCACCCCAGCCCCCTTGCCTCCGGTACCCAAAGCTCTTACCTTCACCAGGCGGCCTGACTGGAAGAGAGCTAGCACTCCAAACAGGTTTGCAAAGACAGCAGGTCTCCTCATCCCCTAGAAAAAGATCCCAAATGCCTGTAGGAGGATCCATCGCCTCATCCGCACGTGTTTCAGGGGCGGGCTAGTCTGTCTGGGACCACACTCACCTTGTTCACGGTTTGCAGATTGTATTTTTCTTGCACCTGATCCAGGATGCTGCACAAAGGGATGTCTTCAAAAGACTGCAACAGCTGCCAGCAAAACCAGAAGGAGCTCAGAGGAGTGGCCCAGGGAAGTGACATTAGAGCAAGTCAACTCCCCTTCTTCAGCTTTCCCTCGGCATAGTCTCCGTCACTCCCATCTCTCACAAGTGGTAAGGATAATCTGCTGCTTTCATTGGACCAAATCTTGCGCCGAGCCCCATCTCCACCAGGGCTTCTGAAAGCCTAGACTGCTCATGTTTACCTCCTGAAACACCCATCCTACCCACACAGCCTGCTCCAAGACGCCTCGAGGTCGACCCTAAGGGCGAGAGTCTTCACTGCTCTGTTATACAAATTTCTGAGTTGTGTTCCTAACCTAGAGAGGGGTCCCAGCCTTCCAGAAGCCAACCTCAAAGTTCACTACTTCCAATAACTGTAGCAAATACGTCTGCTAAACACGTATCAGAAATAAACTTAAGAAGCCTCTCGGATTTCTCCTTACCCACCAGCTGCGGTGCCCCCAATCCTTACACCCCACCTTTTTGCTCGGTGTGGCTGAGCCCTTACCACCTCACCTGTGCCAGCGCCAGACTGTAGCAGGGCCGAGCCGTTTCTCGGCCCACCCCAAGCCCAGTGATCAGACGCTTCAGGGCGTAGTTCATCTCTGAACCCTGTGGAACCAAGAGCATCCCTCGTGTTCAACAGTGACCTGAGGGCCCGCCCCTGCCCCCTTGCATCTAGAGCCACGACTGCGTCCGGGCCCCGCCATCATACACTCGGCCTGGTGCGCAAGTACTCCAGCAGCTTCTCCGTGGCCTGGAGCCGCGTTTCCTGCTCCGGCTTCGCGATGTCCCAGAAGAAGTCCAAGAACTCGCGGCTGTGCTCCAGCAGGCCGCGGCGTTCATCTTGCGCCGCTTCTGTGGGAGACGCAGTTTCAGCTTTCGCGGGGCTCTTCATCTCCGCCATGCTACACGAAACACGTGGGCTCGGAAGACGGTCTCTTCCAGGTCAGGTCCCGGCGCGTGCGCACTGAGCCGGCCGGCTGGGGGCGGGGCCTGGCCGGTCGGGAGGTGGAGGCGGGAAGTCCCGCCTTTCCGGCCTGGCTGTGGGTGGAGCAGCGTCCGGTGCTCACACCCGCTTGTCGGGTGTCTGCTGCTTTGATACCTTTCTTTACGCCGGATGCGTTCTCGACGGCCCGCGGCTCAAACAAATCCACTGAAAAGTACGGCCTCCTCCCAGACCTCCATCTGCTCGCCAGCCATTCCGTGATACCCGTACAGCCCCTATTCCGTTCGGGCACAAAGCCACGACTTCTGAGGACTTCCTTTCTTGTGGGAGGAGATCGTTGATGAACAAATAGCCAAATACATTTAAAACGATAATTATGATGACAATATGGACTGTAAGGAGCAGAGCCCTATAAATATTAAAAATGTCAGAACATCTCCTGTTTGCCCTGGTAATTAAGAAGAAAATTCAGCCGGGCGTTGGTGGCGCACGCCTTTAATCCCAGCACTTGGGAGGTAGAGGCAGGTGGATCTCTGTGAGTTCGAAGCCAGCCTGGTCTACAGAGCGAGTTCCAGGACAGCCTCCAAAACAATACAGAGAAACCCTGTCTCGAAAAAAACCAAAAAAAAAAAAAAAAAAAAAAAAAAAGAAGAAGAAGAAAATTCAATAGATCCCAAGATACACTCGATGTGACTATAACGAAACTGTGACATGTGGGTTGACAGCTGAGGGACAAGATGGACTCAACTATCCTCCTGGGGAGAAAACAAAAGGAGCAGGCCAAGGACATTGCTTCCACAAAGGCCCCTCTTCTCCAGAGAGAGAGTGAGGCCAATGAGGGCACAGGGACGCGGGTGCCAGGAAGGGAGAGCAAGGTTGTTTAGGACCCCAGGCCAGGGTCAAAAGTTCAGGCTTTCTTCTGAGAGTGCAGGGAAAGATTTACATCGGATTTGCATTTTTAAAAGATCAACTGTTGGCTGAGTGGGCATGGCCTGTGGCTGTGAGTACAGAGACAGAGTGAATTGGGCTGGAGGAGTAGTAGTCGGCAGACCTGGGCTAATCTTGAGCTGGTCATGGTGGCGGCTGATGAACTGGGTCAAAGGAGAAGATAAGTAGAGAGGACACCAGGCTAAGAAGCTAAGATAGTTGAGTAGATAGTGAAATGATTGAACCTAGGGGTGTTTTGTTTGAGACAGAGATGGAGGTGGTATAATCAAGAGTTCTACTGGCTTGGGACTGGGGATATGGAGCAGTAGTAGAGCACCTGCCAAGTGTGCTGAGGCTCTAAATTTGATCTCCGACTCAACAAAACAATTAGCTGAGTGTGTTGGTGGTCCATGTGCCTGGGTCAGACTGGATTACATAGTGAGACGATGCCTTAAAAAAAAAAAAAACAAAGCCGGGCGGTGGTGGCGCACGCCTTTAATCCCAGCACTCAGGAGGCAGAGGCAGGCGGATCTCTGTGAGTTCGAGGCCGGGCTGGACCGATAGCCTTCAAAACAATACAGAGAAACCCTGTCTCGTAAAAACCAAAAACAAACAAACAAACAAAAAAACAAATTATAGGGGCCAGGGAGATGGCTCATTGTTTAAGAGCACTTACTACTCTTGCCAAGGACCTAAGTTCAGTTCCCAGCACCCATATAGCAGTTCAGAACTGTACCCCCAGTTCCAGACACAAGATGCATGTGGTTTGCATACACATATGAAGTCAAAACACTCATATAAAATAAAAAAATATTTAATTAAAAAATTAAACCCTCAAAACATTACATCAGAATTGCCCTTTACTTTGTCAGGTAGGGGAAGTCTATTGGCTGTCGTTGCCCTTGGCCTGAGGAGCTATTTCTAGAGGGTTATAGCCCAGAGATCTCAATCCTAGAGGGAAGGTCATGGCCAAACCGGTTTCAGCCCTTTTGTAACGAGCAGCACCTCTCACTCACTGTCCCAACCCTTCTCTGCTCTGCCTTCTGTTCTACGAGTGGAATAAGATTTACCTTGCACAGGTGGATCCCCAGGAGGCAGAGGGTGGGTGGAGCAGGGGAAAGTTGAAAGACACCAGTCCAGGCTCCACCTGCGTCTGCCATTCATCATTTGCGTTGCACATGGTGGATGCTGCCTTGGCATTAGAGATCTCAAAGGGTAATGGGAAAGTTAACCAAAACACAGGAATGGCACTTGGTTCCTGGGAGAGTTGGACTTTATACGTTTCCATCCCAACTGATAAAGATCAGCAGGGAATGGTCCAATGGAAGATGGTGCTGTCCACCCTGCCCAAAGACAGCCAGGGGCTGACAACCCTCCACTGGACTTTCCTGAAGGTGAGTTGCACTCAGTCTCTTTTCCATCATCCTCTAGGTCCTTATCTGATAGAAAACCCTGAACAATTCCATCAGTGTGGGTACTAGGAAACATGGGTGGACTAGCCCTGGATGCCAGAGCTAGATCCAGGTGACAGAACACGCTGGAGGACGGGCTGATGGAGCATCGAACCCATCACGGGTACATTCTCTTTATACACTCATTGCTGCTAGGCCTCATCTGTTTTGGCACTCAGGTTCCAAACAACTCTGCCCTCTCCAGACTCTGTCCTTCTGTTAATACCCCTGGAAGGGGCAGCAGCCACTGGGGACACTGGAGACATGGGCATGTTCTGCATGAACTACAACCTGGAGTAGGTTCCCTTGACCACAGACTCCAGGCCTTTCTGTGGATCTTTGTTGAGCTTGAGGGATTTGGGGTGCTGCCAGATGATTGAGCAAGGTGCAAGTCATTGCTTTGGCCCCACTGAGTGTCCCTGAAGCCAGTAGCCCCAACATATCGGCTTCTGTGTCATCCAGGCTACCACGGAGAATGAGTGGGCAGGCCCAGGCACTGGGTTCAGATCTGGCCACCAGGTTGCTGAGCAGAACACCAGTGCTTGGGGACAGGTGTCCAGAACCAAAGGAGCTGTTGATTGAAGAGGTTAGAAGGAGCATAGAACCACTGCTGTCCACGGTGGCGAGGGCGCTATCCACTGAGGTCATGGCCGTTTGCAGGAGAGATAGACAGGAAGTAGGACTGGGTGTCCTGGAGTGAAGGGCGGACTCCAGCAGTTCCAGAAGTTCTGGGCCAGCTGAGGGACCAGGAGTAGTAAAGAGGACACCCTGTGGCATGGAAAGCTGCAGTGCAGGCTCTAGGGAGGGCACGGGCTGAGTAGGGGCCTCTTCTAGCCCCAGGTCTCTGACCAGCAGACTCAGCAAGGCATCCCCAGCAAGATCTGGACTGGAGGCCAGGGCCGCCCGGTGCAACACAGATGCCAGGCTGGGGTTGGTGGCTTGAGCCCCAAGACCCAGTAGAGTCCCGTTGGTATGGCAGAAGAGTGGACAGAGCCCCTTTGTGCCCTGGGCTGCTAGTGCATTTGCCAGGGGTGCATCTACCTCAAAGCCGTTTTGAGCCAGCATGGCAGGCTTGGCCAGGAGGTGTGGCCAGGGCAGGTGGCCGAAGTGTGTGTGAAGCAAATAAAGGGCAGGCAGTGCTGTGGGCAGCCCCAGGCCAGGAGCCAGGGTTCGGGCTGGGCCTGCTGTCAGGGCAGTTGCATTTCCCGAGGAGCTGTTGTAGAAGAGGCCCCAGAACATGGCACCTGTTGGGAGACAACGAGACCACACGGGTCAGAGGCACTGGCCGGGATCAAGGTCAGGATCCTCCCGCCGTCCCAGGTGGAGAATCAGGAATTACTGACAAACCTGGTGTCAAAAATCACCCAAGACCAGGCCTGGTGCTCAGACACTATGCCCTTCTCACTAGCTAGCCTTGGGGTAATGGTCACTGATTAGGTCCCAGGTTGGAGCCTCTGTCCAGGGCCCACAGATCCCACTAACCTAGCCCTGTTGCATGAGGATGTACTACTGCCAGACACAAAGCTGCTCCAACTCCAGCATCCACGACGTTCCCCCCATCGACAAGTAGCTCTTGACCCAGCTGAGAACACGTGGCTGCAGTAAGAAAAGGGCCGCGTGTGATGGGGAGGCACCCTGGACCATTGACCCCCAGCCCCTTCCCAAGCACTGACCTGCAGGGCTGATAATGGCTCCATGGTGGTACACACCAGGGTTATGGGAGTGTCGGCTGGCTGGAGGGGCTGCAGAGCCCAGGTTTCCTTTTGGACTGTCCCTATTGTGCAGCTGCCTCAGAGCCAGGGAGCTGCTAACAGCTAGCAGCAGCAGGCTTGCAAGCAGGCGGGCCCAGGCTCCTGGCAGCCCACCAACCTTGTTCCTGCAGGAAGGGGTGTCTTGAGCCAGGGATGGGGTGGAGGGGTACCCAAGAACCCCAAGAGGAACCAAGGAATGTTTCCCCAAAAGGTTTGATTTCGCAAGAGTATAAGCTGGCTAAGGAGAGAGAGAGAGAGAGAGAGAGAGAGAGAGAGAGAGAGAGAGAGAGAGAGAGAGAGAGAGAGAGAGACAGAGAGAGACAGAGAGAGACAGACAGAGACAGAGAGAGACAGAGAGAGAGATTGATTTTTCCAGGCCCAGGGCACTGCATTGGCAAAAACACAGAAGTAGGAAAAAGTTGGAGAAACTGAGGCTGACTTGGAGGGAGTGTCTACAGAAGATCTGGTGGACGCAGAGGCCAGTCAGAAAGAGGCCTGGAAGGGGCTTGGCATACAGGAGGGAGAGAGGAGGCTGAGCACGGCTCAGCCAGGCGTAGCCAGGTCCCAACCTGCCTAGCAGGTGCTATGGCATGGGGGGGGGTGAGGCTGGCAGAGCTGGGACAGGATAGGGACCGGCTTGATACAAATGTCCCTTCAGATACACATACAGACTTTTGATTAACTGCTTCAGTCCCAGGTTGGGTCTGCAGTCTAGAGCCCCCCCCCCCCACTCATTTAGAAAGTCCCTGGAGCTCAGCCGAGTATGGGATTGCCTGACCCAGCTTAGGGTATCCAGAGAGAGGACCTTGCCAGCCTTCTAGACTGAATTATGGGGTTCCCAGGCCCTTTGATGACTCACCGGGGGATATTTTGGGATCTCCTTAGGGAGAGGACCAGTGGCTCTGCTATTTCTTCCTCCTCCTCCTCCGACTCCATGCCAGGCTCCCAGAGTTGCAGCTTGTGGTAGATTACAGCCTCTGTGGTGGCATCCATGGCCTGTGCTGCCCCAGGTCTCTGCTGAGAGCCCTGGCAGTTGAGACTGCCAGGTAGGTAGGTAAGCAGGCTGTGGCTGCTGCTGTGTGGCCTTGGGGAAGGGAGGTGGTGAAACAGAGAACAGGTCTGGGCAGGGCGGGGCTGGGGAGGCTGCTATGAGCCTGCCTCATCAGGGCATACGAGGTTCTCATAAAGGTTACCCAAGCAGCTGCCACACAGGGGTCACAGTTTATCCAGGTCTAGGATGAGCTCAACACTATAACTGTAGACCATGGGGTGGGGGACACTCCCTCTTAACCTTTGACATCCCTAACCTACTCAGGTCTCTAGGGATCATGGACATGAATTAGAACTAGAAGTACAAGGGTGGCTTGGGTGGTGGCTTAGCAACACAAACCAGGTTATATTGTCAGGGGTGTGTCTTCCAGGTAGGGTCATGGTCCAGTCTTATGCTATAGTGAGATCTTTTGACAACTCTTTTGAAGGCCACCCCTGGAAATGTCATGTGGCTCTAGTCCAGTAGGCGGCATTAGAGACATCTGTGGGGAAACATGGTTCCAATTCCTTCTCACTGGAATTCACAACAAGGATGTGTTCCAGGGAAAAACAGTGCTATTTGCAACAGTCCCAAAGGGGAAACTACTCAAACACCCATTGTCGGGAAAATGAACCATGCCAGGCATTATTCAGTCAATGGGGTATCTATAGCAGAAAGAAATAGCAAGTTACAGTCATGTGTAATATTGTACATGAATCCTCTGATTCATGTACACTGTGATTGAACGAGGCCAGCCAGGGAAGGGCACACAATGTGTGTTTTAAGCAAGGCTTAAAACCAGCAGGACTAGTAGAGTCAGAATATGGCTGAAGTAGGGACTAGGAACAGGGCATCTGGGAAGCTGGAGATATCTGCCTGCCTGCCTGCCTGCCTTCCTCCTGTCCTTCTTTATTTCTTATTTCTGGGACAGGGTCTACATAGCTCTGGCTGTACTAGAAATCACTACGTAGACCAGGCTGGCCTTTAACTCACAGAGATTCACTTTCCTCTGCTTCCCAGTGCAGGGATTAAAGGCCTTTTTTTTTTAAGACTATTACTAATGTTTAGTAAATTAAAAGGTTTTTTTTGTTTTTGTTTTTGTTTTTTTGTTTTTCGAGACAGGGTTTCTCTGTGGCTTTGGAGGCTGTCCTGAAACTCACTTTGTAGACCAGGTTGGCCTCGAACTCACAGAAATCCGCCTGCCTCTGCCTCCCGAGTGCTGGGATTAAAGGCGTGCGCCACCACTAAAAGGTTTTTTGAGTTTTTGTTTGTTTGTTTGAGGACAACTTGTGGGGTTGGTTTTCTCCTTCCATCATCTGGATCCAGGTGACAAACTGAAGTGGGCAGGCTTGACAACCAGCAGCGTTATCCACGGAGCCATCTCAGTGGTCCTTCTTTTTTTTTTTTTTTTTTTTGAGACAGGGTTTCATGTGGCCCAGGTGTCCCTCAGCTAAGGGAGGATGGCCTTGAATTTCTAATCCCCCTGCCTTTATCTCCTCAAAGCTGGGATTATAGGCATGCATCACCATGCCTGATCTAATTAATTAAAAGTTTAATATTAAAATATAAATGAATACTGGGCAGTGGTGGCACACCTTTAATCCCAGCACTCGGGAAACAGAGGCAGGCGGATCTCTTTGAGTTGAAAGCCAGCCTGATCTACAGAATGAGTTCTAGGACAGCCAGAGTTACAGAGTGAAACCCTGTCTCAAAAAAACTAAAAAAAAAAAAAAAAAAACCCAGAAAAATATATAAGTAACTTAATTTTAGACAGCCATTTTTTTTTTTTTTTGGTTTTTACGAGACAGGGTTTCTCTGTATTGTTTTGGAGGCTATCCGTCCAGCCGGGCCTTGAACTCACAGAGATCCGCCTGCCTCTGCCTCCCGAGTGCTGGGACTAAAGGCGTGTGCCGCCGCCGCCGCTGCCACCGTCACCACCACCGCCACCCGGCGCCATTGTTTTTATTTGTTAAAGCTAGTCTTTCTTTTTTTTTTTTTTTTTTCTTGAGACAGGGTTTCTCCGTGGCTTTGGAGCCTGTCTTGGAACTCACTCTGTAAACCAAGCTGACCTCAAAACTCACAGAGATCCGCCTGCCTCTACGTCCCGAGTGCTGGGATTAAAGGTGTGTGCCACCACTGCCTAGCTTGTTAAGGTGTTTGTAACATGTTAAACCACCACTGTCCCATATGGTGCCCACTAGCTGTCATTTCTACACATTGTCTATACAAAATTCATAAAGGGATCAAGTCTTTGCAACACTCACTGGACGTGTTTGCTGCCATTGAACTTCATAGATAGTTTCTTTTCTTTCTTCCTTCCTTTTTTCCTTTTTTTTTTTTTTTTTTTTTTTTTTTTGGAGACAAGGTGCTTTTCTGTGTAGCCTTGTCTGTCCCAAACTCACTCTGTAGACCAGGCTGGCCTTGAACTCAGAGATCCACCTGCCTCTGCCTCCCAAGTGCTGGGGTTAAAGGCATGTGCCACTATTCCCAGCCAAGCATACATAATTTTTTAAAATCCTAGTATAGGGGCTAAAGCAGTGGCTCAGCAGTTAATAGCACTTGCTGCTCTTGCAGATGACCTGGCTTTGATTCCCAGCACCTGAATGGTGGCTCACAACTGTCCATAACTTCGTTTCCAGGGCATCTGATGCCTTCTTTTCGACTCATTGGGCACCAGGCATGCACTGCACATACATACATACACACAGGCAAAACATTTTAAATATACATTTAAAAATTGTTTTTTAAAAAGATACTGGGTACAGTCCCACATGCCTGTAATCTGAGTATTCAGGAGCAAAGTTAGTCATGGTTACTTAGATAGACTGTGTGTTAAGAAACAAATTGAGGGGCTCAGTGGTTAAGAACAGCATAACCTGCTCTTGCAGAGAACCTGAGTTCAGTTCCCAGGACCCACATCAGCTAGCTCTAGGGAGTCAAACCCTCTTTGGGTTTCCGAGGACACATCTACCCACTTGAACCCATATACACATACCCAAATGCACATGTACACATAATTAAAATAAAAACAAAGTAAGCTTGGGAAGTCAAGCATGGCAGCATAGACGTATAATCCCTGTACTGAGGAGGTGGAGGCAGTAGTTCAAGGCCAGCCTGGGCTATCTTTGACATTGTCTCAAACAAAAACAAGCTGTGGTTGTAAATACAAGGCAGAGGGCATTCTGCTTCACATGCACAAGGCCCTGAGCTCCAGAAAAAAAGTTTGTTCCCATGTTTTCATACATGTCTGTTATTCCAGCACTCAGAAGATTGGAATAGGAAGCTATGAGCTCATGGTCAGTCTGGGCTATATAATAAGATCTTGTCTCAAAACTTCCCAAATAGACAACTGTGGTGTGCAAACCCTTGCTCCCAGCACTTGGGAGGCAGAGGCGGACAGACATCTGTGAGTTCGAGGCCAGCCTGATCTACAGAGTGAGACCCAGGACAGCCTGGGCCATGTACAGAGACCCTGTCAGTAGGCCCAGAAGTGAAGAGCACTTGCTCCTGTGGAGAACCTGGGTTCAGTTCCTAGCACCCACATGGTGGCTCACAACCAGTATAATTCTTAAGAGGTTATGCTCAGGCATACTCATTGTGCACATATGCACATACAAGAAAAGTAGTCATACACATACAAAAGAAAGCCTTTTTTCTTTTTCTTTCGAGACAGGGTTTCTCTGCATTGCTTTGGAACTTGTCCTGGAACAGGCTGGCTTTGAACTCACAGAGATCTGCCTGCCTCTGCCTCTCAAGTGCTGAGATTAAAAGCATGAGCCACCACCGCCCGGCCGCCCTTTCTTTCTCTCTTTCTTTTCTCCCTCCCTCCCTCCCTCCCTGCCTCCCTCCCTCCCTCCCTTCTTTCTTTCTTTTTTTCTTTCTTTCTTTCTAAGATTTTATTATGTATACAGTGTTTGGCCTGCACAGATCTCATTACAGATGGTTGTGAGCCATTATGTGGTTGCTGCGAATTGAACTCAGAACCTTAGGAAGAGCAGCCAGTGAGCCTTGCCTTTTCTTTCTTATTTATTATTGTGTATATATGCACATGCATATGTGGGGAGGTGCACATCACAGCGTCAGAGATAACTTTGACCAGTCTCTCCTCTCATATTTGCGTGGATTCTTGGGGTTGACTTCAGGTCTCCATATACATTGAATCATCTTATCCAGCTACTTATTTTATTTATTTATTTATTTATTTTTGGTTTTACGAGACAGGGTTTCTCTGAATTGTTTTGGAGGCTGTCGGTCCAGCCTGGCCTCGAACTCACAGAGATCCACCTGCCTCTGCCTCCTGAGTGCTGGGATTAAAGGCGTGCACCACCACCATCTGGCCCAGCTACTTATTTTAAGATTCGTTTTTATTATTTTGTTTTATGTGTATGTATGTATATCTCTCTGTGTGTATGCACATGTAAGTGCAGGTGCCTGAGGAGGCCAGAGGTGTCAGGTTACCCTGGAACTGGAGTCACCGGTGGTTAGGAATCACCCATCATGGGTGCTGGGAATTGAACTAGGGTCCTCTACAAGAGCAGGGTGTTTTTAACCGCTGAACCATCTTTTTAAATTTGTTTATCTCTGTTTTATATGCATCTGTGTGATGATGTTGGATCTCCTGGAAGTGGAGTTACAGATAGTTGTGAGCTGCCTTATGGATGCTGGGAATTGAACTCGGGTCCTCTGGAAGAGCAGCCGGTGCTCTTAAGCACTGAGCCATCTCTTCAGCCCCTCCTTTATTCTTTTGAGAAAGGATCTCATATGATAGCCTTGAACTTGTGATCCTCTTGTATTGGCTTCCCGAGGGCTGCGTTTACAGATGTGCCCTACCGTGCCTGGCTTACATCTTCCTTTTCGATATGAGCGCTGTGGAAGTAGCTGTTTCTTGGGCTTCTGGCAGCCTCCTCTATGGTCTCCTCTCTGTCTGAAGGAAGATCTCCCTACAAAGGTGATTTTGCTTTTA